CCGAGCCGCGCCGCCGACGTCTGCGGGAGGCAAAACGGACAGTCGCCGCGCTCAGCGACAAGCCCCGCGACGGCCTTTGCAAACTTTCACCCTTTCTTCAACTTTTCTCCTCAGAGAAGCCGCGGAAGCGAACGACCGACGACCGACGAGCAGCGAAGCGCCCAACAAAATGGAGTCCCGGTCGTCAAGCGGCGCTCTGCGCGTTGCAGCCGCTTTCACGACGTGGCTGGTGCTCGCTTTACGGTGGCGCTGCGAGGCAGTGGGCGGTGCCGCGGGAGCGCGCTCAGGCGTGCACGAGCACGCAGGAGCGCGTTCTCCTCGCTCCGCCGCCAACCCGTCTCTCCTGGGCGTGTTGGTTCCGCTGTCCTCCCGGTGGCTCTCGGGGACAGCTCACGTTTGCAGAGGCTTCTTACGCTGGAAAAGGAGGATTTAGGGAACGGCGCAGTCCAACGCAGCGAGATCCCGGCCGGAGCCATAGCCGCTTCCCCTGAGCCCAGGGACCCAACCCGGCCTTGGAGTGCAGTCAGCAGAGTCTGGGCTCCGTGTTCACCACACGCAGCTCCCCACGTTCCTGGGTACAAGCCCGTGTTGGATCCCTCCTGGGGACCGGCAGACCCGGAGCTCCGTTGGATGGTGGGAAGGAACTGGCCCGGCCTTCTCCAGGAGGGCCTTCTCCAGGAGGGCCTCCTCCTCCTCCTCCTCCTCTCCCCTTCCCCAGGCACCCCGATTCCCCCAGCCCTGTGGCCCCACCTCTTCCCTGCACTTTTCTTGGGATTGAGGACCCTGGCCGGACTTCCTCAACTCTGCGTTCCTGCACGGACGGAGCTGAATTAGTAAATTTGCTTTAACACAAAACTTTAAGGAAAGATGTTAAGTCTTTAATCTGTTGACCCAGTCACCAAATAGCAATAAATATTTTAGGAACCTAGCTTGTATTGTTACCGAAGGAATTGGCCAGTGACACACTGAGGCAGCAGAATGGAAGTAAAAGAACAAAAGTTTACTCCATGGGTGAGGATCGATCACGCATAAGTCGTGCCTGGATCGATGACCCACTGGGTTATAACTCCTCCTTTTATACGGTTTTACAGCCTTGACTTCATTTGGGTGGTTGCATTTCATTTTCACAGTTCAAACCATGATCACAGGATAGTTAACTTTCAACCCAAATATAATTCTTTGTAGCTAGGGGAGTTTACCTCTAAGATTCACCCAGTTATCTGTCCTAGCCCATAGGAAGGGGGTGTTCAGGGTCAGGGGAGCAAGTGTTAGCAATGGGTTCTTTCATCCAGACGCTCTTACGATCATGTGGCTCCAGTCTCTTTGGAGCTCAAGGTCTTGCTGTGCCCTGTTATCTCAGGGTCAGACCAGTGCCTCATTCAGCAACTAGTACCTTTGGTGCCTGTTAGTTCTGAGCTGAACAAAGCAAACTGCTGTTAGAGACAGCAGAAGCCATTTTACATTGTAACACTTTATAGGCTTTTGCTATTTGTAAAAGTTTTCCCTATCAGCATAGATGGCTTGTTTTCCAGTCAATAGGGTTTGAATGTGGCTGACTTTAAGGATTAAAAGAAATAGCTAAATAATCACCCAAAAGACAAAAAAACAAATGTCATGAAAATGCTTTGAAAACAGCAAGCATAGAATGTAAAGTGTGACTTAGCTACAATCCTTAGCTCTGTGTGTGTGTGTGTGTGTGTGTGTGTGTATGTGTGTTAAACTCATTTCATTAGTGCTCTTCTGTTTCCTTTGTTTGTTGCTGTTTTGAGACAGGGTCTGCTGGTTTTGAACTCACTACGTGGCACAAGCTGGCCTAGGTCTCATGGCAGACCTCCTGCCACAGCCTCCCAAGTGCGTTTCTTTTGAGGCAGGTCTCACTATGGAGCCCAAGCTGGCCTCAAACTCACCGTTATCCTCCTGCCTTGGCCTCTGGAGTGCTGGGGTTACAGGTGTGCGCCACCACACCAGTTCACAGCCATTTAAAAATTTTAAATTTTGAGACCAGGTTTTGCTAAGTTGTTAAATTGCTCTGGCTAGGCTCTGACTTGTGGTCTTCCAGCCTCAGCCTCCTGCAGTGCTGGGATCATTGACACGTACCACCCACCGTGCCTAGCTAAGTGCATATATATCTCTTATTTAGGTCTTTCTCAGATTCTTTGTATTTTGGTTGGTCCTTTAAAAAAATCCAACATCTGGGCTTTCCTGATACGTCAGAGGCAGCCGTCTCATAATTTTCTTGTATAAATAAAAATAAATGGCATTGAGACTCCAGTGCACACCTATTAGAACGGCTGTAGTGCAGAACGCAGACGCTGTGGGGATGGGCATGGATGGAAACTCTCGCCTCCTGGTGGTGGGAAGCTAAAACTGCAGGACCACATTGGCTAGCGGATGGTTGTTCTTTATAAACCGAACAGACTCCTCTTGGATCCCGGGATCGCTTCCCTTGGTATTTATCAGATGAGCCGAGCCTGCGTATCCACACGAAAACCTCACTTAGTTGTTTATAGCAGCTTGTTCATAACTGCTAAAATGCAGAAGCGACTTGGCTTTGTAGGGGAGATGCTGGACTGTGGATTGTGATTCAATGCGAAAAGAAACGAAGTCTCCAAACGGGAGAGGACACAGGAGAAGCTTACGGAGGCGCGACGAGGTGAAAAGCCCATCTGTGGCTACCACCGAGTCCGACTACAGGACCCGCGGGAGGCAGAAGGAGGGACGCAGGGAGAGATCGGGATTGTCTGGGAGGAGCGTGAGGAGGCGGACACAGGGTCTTGGCGCTGAAACCTCTCAAGGCGGTGGCTGCGTGGGTCCTTCCACGGAAACCCACGGCCGGCAGCGCCCAGCGCGAGCCGTGACGCGAGGCTGTGGGTGAGGAGGACACACCAGTGGAGGCTCTCAGGTGGTGACAAACGCACCGAGCCGCGCACGGGGGTCGGTATTGGGTGTCCGTGTGTGTGTGTGTGTGTAGGAGCTCTGTGCTTTCTGCTCAATTTTGTGGCAAAGTGAAAAGTACTCGAAAAAGGAAATTAGCTTAAAAGGGAGGAGGGGACAAATGGCCCCCAAAGGTGGTGGAACTGAGAAGCAATAGCTCTTCCCTGGGGCAAATTGAACTCGGGCTCCACTCAGCTAGGTGGGGCTTTTGTGCAGGGCACAGAACACAGTGTTCAGTATTTATTATGGGCCCATGGCTAGCATTTATTTGCTTTGATTTTAGTTTCTGTTCTTTATTATCACCTCTCTACTTTATTTGGTTTTACTCCATTTAACTTTTTTTTTGTTGTTTTTTTGTTTTTTGTTTTTTGAGACAGGATCTCACTGTGTAATTGAGACTGACCTGGAACTCACTGTGTAGCCCAGGCTGGCCTAGAACTCATGGCGATCCTCCTGCCTCAGCCTCCCGAGTGCTGGGATGGTAAGTGTGTGCCACTGTTACCGGCTTTTCAGGTGCTCCAGTCTCATTCTAGAGGTGGTTTCTAGGGTTTTACTGTCCTGTGCAAATAATCGGTCAAGATAAACGCAGGGCTCGACATTTTTTAAAGGTAGGAAAACAAACAAAGCAACAACAACAACAACAACAAACAAAACCCAGGCTCTACAGAGTGAGTTTGGGCCAAGTGAAAGGAAAGGAGCGCACCCCACAGCTAGAGAGTGGGTTTCTGAGAAAGGACAGAGTGGCCGAGAGAGCGCAGCGGTGACTTTCTTCTGTACCTCCCACAGCTAAGGTGATGTCAGGCCTAGGCTGTCCCATCTAAAACCGGCTTGAGTTTCCAGAGGAGGAGCCGAAGAAGATGCGCAGGTTGGGCCTGGGTGCTGGGCTTTGGGAGCCGAGCTGTGCAGTCCTGGAACTTCATGATTCTCAGGCCACACCCACCCCAGCCAGCCTGCTGCGCCCTAGTCTCCTGCCTCGACGCCATTCCTGACCTTTGTTTCTTTTTTTGTTTTCATCGAGTTTATTGGTACTTCTTAGGTACACAGTACAGTTACATTCATCTTTGGGACCTTGTACCTTTACAGGAAAGGTCTTGGTTCTCACTTTTTTCCCCTACCCCTGCCCTCCCTTCACCCCCTCCTCCCTCCCCTATTTACTGACTTTGTTTACATGTTTTCCTTTTCTCATATTTTTTTCTTTTCCCTCATTTCCTTTCTCACTTCCCTACCCTTCTCACTTCCCCTACACCTTTAGCCCTTTTCTTCCTGTTTCACATTGTCAGTTATACAATGTGAGCCCTATTACACTTTTAGGTTTTCGCACCAGAGAAACTATGTGGTATTTACTCATGTGTATCTTATTTATTTCACTTAGGAATATGGCCTCAATGTGTGTCCATTTTCCTATGAATGACTCTAGTTTCTCATTCTTTTTTTCCCCTCTTTTTTAGTTTCTCATTCTTTATGGCTGAGTAGTATTCCATTTTATAGAAAAATCACATCTTCTTTATCCAGTCTCCAACTAATGGGCAATTGGGCTGTTTCCAAGTTTTAGCTGTTACAAACTGTGCCGCTTCTGACCTTTGTTTCTAACAGCACTTAAGATCTTCAGTTCCCATTGGACTTCAGCTGTGTCACACAACTTTTAATGTTTATCTTTTCATTAATATTTAGTTCTAAATATATTTTCATTCCCATTTTGATGTGATATGTATTGTTATTTGTGTGGTACTAGAGATCCAACCCAGGGTTTTCATTCTGAGCTACACCCCTAGTCCATTTTTTTATTTTGAAAGGTCTCACTAAAACATCCAGGTAGGGTTCAGACTTATTTTTTTTTGGTACTAGGGATTGAACTCAGGTCCTTGTGCTTGCGAGGCAGGCGCCAGAACCACTGAGCTAAATCCTCAGCCCAGGGCTCAGACTTTTGATCTTCCTGCCTCAGCCTTTTGGAGTGTTGGTTTTTGTTTTTTTGTTTTGTTTGTTTTTTGAGACAGGGTCTCACTATGTAGTTGAGACTGACCTGAAACTCACTATATAGCCCAGGCTGGTCTCAAACTCACAGCGATCCTCCTGCCTCAGCCTCCCAAGTGCTGGGATTACAGGCGTGTGCCAACACACCTGGCCTGAAGTGTTGGGATTATAGGCCTGTACCACCATGCCCAGCTTTGGCTATATTTATCTTTTAGTAGGGTTGACACAAGTGACTCCATTTTGATTTTGACAGCTGTCATATTTTTCATATATGCCCTGTTGTTTTGAGGCCACTGCTGATTAGTCATAATTTTTGTCATCACACTTTTCTTTTCTTTTTCTTTTTTTTTTTTGGTGTTTTGAGACAGGGTCTTACTATGTAGTGAGACTGACCTGGAACTCACTGTGTAGCCCAGGCTGGTCTCGAACTCACAGCGATCTTCCTGCCTCAGCCTCTCGAGTGCTGGGATTATAGGCATGCGCCACCACGCCCAGCCAACACTTTTCTTACTAAATTGATTTACCAAAGGTATTTGTTATAGTAGCAAAGTGCTGATGTCCTTTCCTGGGTGGACAAACTTTGCTTTAGCTCTCAGGTGCCATATAATTTCCTCATATCTCATAGTTCGCTATCTAAAAATCTTTAAAAATGATGTGAGTCACATACTGCTATAATGTCTATCTTTTTGTTGTTGTTGTTGTTTGAGACAGGGTCTCACTTTGTAGTTCAGGCTGGCTTTGAACTCACTATGCAGCCCAGGCTGGCTTAGAACCTGTGACAATTCTTACTTAGTGCTGGGATTACAGGCATGAGCCACCACACCTGGCTCTTTTTTTTTTAATGAGACAGGGTATCACTATGCAGTCTAGGCTGGCCTTGAACTTTCAATGATTGTCCTGCCTCAGCCTCCTGATGACAGGTGTGCGCCACCACGTCCCGCATGTCCATGTTTCGAAGTACGTCAGTGTTTTCAGAACATTCACAGGTTGTGACTCCTACCTCACTACCTGATTCCAAAATGGCCTCCTCATCCCCATTAGGAAACCCAGGGCACAGCCATCACTCCATGCTCTGCTCCCTGAAGCAGATCACAGTGTCTTCTGTCCCTGTAGCTTTGCCTTTCCTGGCCTTCAGTAGTCTTGGTGCCTGGCTGTCTTCAGGGTTCTCCCCTGTTGTAGCAGGCGACAGGATACCTTTCCTTTTCATGGGTGACTAGTATTCCACGGGGTGGACGTGCCACAGCTACGTGTAGCCATTCCCGCCTGTGCACATTGGGTTATTTCCAACTGTCGGCCCCTGTGATAATGCTGGTGTGCACTTGGGCACAGGTGTGTGGACGGATGCCTCCATTTCTCTAAGGCACCGACAGACACGCTCTCACGGTTGTAAGCGTCATGCTCTCATTGAACAGAAGTTGCCATACCTGTTTTCAATCAGTTCAGGACATCACGTCAGCCATGACAGCACAGCTGAAGACCCTCAGGAAAGAGGACGCCAGCGCTGCTGCAGGGCGAGTCCTTCGTGGCCTGGCTGTACAGCGGAGGACCGCAGTGCACGCCTCAGAGCCCCGTGGCAAGAATGGTGGGTAAGTGTGTTCAAAGCGAGGGAGGACTTAGAGGGGATTCGTGGCAACGTGTCTCTACTATAATAAAAAATCTAAAAATTGGGCCGGGGATTTAGTTCAGTGGTTCTGCCGCCTGCCTCACAAGTGCAAGGACACGAGTTTGATCCCTGGTACCAAAAAAATAAAAGAACCACACAAAAAACCAAAAATCTAAAAAGTAAAAAGTCACCTTGTGAATGGCTGGATGTTATTAATGCTGTGTAAGTGCAGAGCTGCCTGATGCTTCTTTCCCTTCCACCACGTCAGGACACAGCTTTTGTCCCCTCCAGAGGACGCACAGCAAGGTACCGTCTTGGAAGCAGAGAGAAAACAAATGGTCCAGAAACACTGGTCAGCCACACGCAGTGAATCTGGATCTGCATCTCTCACTCTGCAAGCAAATCAAATCAGAATGGATCAAAGACCTCTACGTAAAAACAGAAACACTGAATCTACTGGAAGAAAAACACTGGTAAAACTCGAAGACACAGGCAGAGCTGAGGACTTTCAGAACAGAATCCCAGTTGTACAAGACACACCGCCAAGGCTCAACAAATGGAATTATATCAAATTTTAAAGCTCTGTACAGCACAAAGCAACCAGCAGAGTGAAGAGACAACCTACAGAATGGATAGAAAGTTTTGCCAGCCACTCCTTGGATGGAGGACTCATCTAGAATATAAAAAGAACTAAAAAAAATCAGACCCCTCTCAACAAAAGACCCAATTAAAAAGTGGGCTACTGAAAAAAATAGATACTTCCCAGAAAAAGAACAAATGGTCAAAAAAATATGAAAAAATGTTCAGCATCTTTGGCCATTTAAAGAAGCAACACAGATCCTACCATACTCCAGTAAGAATGGCTGTAATCAAGGATTCAAAAAACTAATGCTGGCAAAGTTATGGGGAAAAAGCAACCCTCCCAGATTGCTAGTGGGAATGAAAACCAGTACAGTAACTATGAAAATCAGCATGAGAATCCTTAAAAAAACTAAAATTAGAAATTCCATTTGATCCAGCTATATTCCAACTGGGTATCTTCCCAAAAGAGTTAAAGTCATCAGGTTGAGAGCCGGGCATGGTGGTGCACACCTGTAATCCCAGCACTCGGGAGGCTGAGGCAGGAGGATCACTGTGAATTTGAGACCAGCCTGGGCTACATAGTGAGTTCTAGGTCAGTCTCAACTACATAGTGAGACCCTGTCTCAAACAAACAAACAAAAAGTCATCAGGTTGGTGATGTGGCTCAGCAGCACAGGTCCTGAGTTCCCCAGTACCAAAAAAAAAAAAAAAAATTATCATATCACAGTGATAATGTGCATACCCACGTCATAGCAATACAACTCAAAATCGCTAAATTATGGAAGCAATCTATATCTCCATCAACAGATTAATGAAGAAAATGTGACAGGGACAAAATGCAGCTTGGAGGAGGGGTTTTCCCACCACCCTAAGTGATGTGATCAGGATGCGCTCATTCGGCAGCAGCAGAGGAGGGGAGGAAGCAGATGAGGAGGGATACGTGCAGATGTGTTCAGGTTTGGGTTTTGAGACAAGGCCTCACTGTAGCGCAGCTTGGCCTTGAACTTGTGGTGATCCTCCTGCCTCAGCCTCCTGAGTGCTGGGACTGTAGGTGTTCACCACAACATCTGGCTCAGCTTTCTTTTTTGTGGGGTGGGTGCTGGGGATGGTGCCAGGGCTTGGTGCAGGCTGGGCAAGCACTCTAGCACGGAGCCACACCCCAACCCTACACACCTTCCTGCTAGCCGGTGGGAGCACTGATGTCTTTTACAAAATGTTTGTTCTCTGGTAAAGCATATCTTGTTGTCCAGATCCTCACCCAGCATTGGGATTTTGCATAGGTAAATATTCCCAATGTGTGCAAAGCACGCTACCCACCATTCAGTCTTGGACACACAATCCGGTGTGGTGTGTGACACAAAGCTTCAGGACACGTCCAACTGCAAACTGCTCGTCTGTGGGTGACTTTATTGTGTTTCTGCTTTCCTGATGCACTTAAAGTTCAGTCTATGTTAAAAAGCAAAAGAGAAACAAAAGCTGGGCGTGGCGGCGCAGTTATCCCCGCATCTTGGCTGATTCGGGACAAGTCTGAGCTCAATCAAGCCCAATGCAGCGGGACTCGGCCTCGAAATAAAAAATAAAAAGAGGTGGGGAAGCCACTCAGTGTAAAGGCCCTGGGTTCAAGCCCCAGGACTGCAACGAAAAACAGAAAAGAAAAAGTGGAAAGGATCATTCATGTGAGCAGAGACGGGATGGCTTGCACATGGCGGGAACGACTCTGGACTGCTAATGTCATTTTATTTTAGAGCAGGAGAGAGAAGCACTACAGGACCATCTGTGCCATCGGCCGGGGGGATGAGCAGCTCCCTCCCACCCAGCGCCTCTCGGGTCTCCCGTGGGTCTGTGCCGGGCCACCTACTCCACGCTCACTGCTGTCGGAAGTGGACGAAGAACGTGCAGATCTCCTTGGGGTAGACGGTGATGGTGGAGCTTCCAGGCAGCCTTGAGGGGGAAGTGGGACGGCCTGGGGAGCACAGGGACTGTCCAGCAGGGCCCCTGTACTGCAGCGGCCGCCAGCAGGCAGCTCTGGCCTCTGTTGAGGAGGGCCCCTTCTTCCTTACCCATACACCCACTCACCCAGCAACTCACCCCTCCTCCACCCACCCACCCACCCTGCATCCCCAGGGACACACCCCCCCCCACCCCACATCCAGGGACTGAGTGTCCACTCTGTCCCCAGCCCCATGCTTGAGTGGTGGATGAGGAGGAGATGCCCCCACACAGGGACAAGGGCCTTCCTTGGAGCAGGGCAAGCCTGGCGGAGACTGGGAGGCTGAGGCTGCTGAGGCTGGCAGGGGCAACAGGTGTTTGTGGTGCGGGCACAATCTCCAGCTTGGGGCTCTTGCCCAGGGTACACAGTCTGTGTATGTGCACACACCTACTAGTGCACACACACACACACCCGAACACTCACCTGTGTGCCTTTGTGAAGCTCTGACCAGAGTCCCCTTTTCCTTTTCTTTGCAGTTGTGGGGCTTGAGCCCAGGACCTTTGCACTGAGCTACACGCCCCACCCATTTCTATTTTCTATTTTGAGACAGGGTCTCACTAAGTTGCTGAGTTGCTCAGGGTGGACTGGAATGTGTGATCCTCCTGCTCCAGCCTACTGGAGCGCTGGGATAACAGGTGTGCACCACCACCCACCTCCCCAGACTTTCACAAACCACGCTGGTGGATTCAGGAGGCTGCAGGTTCACAGTGGGGAGGCAGCCACCTGGCTACAGGGTGGAGGCTGGATCCAAACAGGTCTGCTCAGCCCTGCGAAGGCTGGGAGAGATGGGGCACCAGGGCAGGGTCCCCTAACCTGTCTGGGGGCCGGGGTCCGTCCTCCAGCTCCAGCGCCGCATGGCGTGCACGTCCCAGGTTCCCGTGAGAGAGCGCTCCTCCACAGTCTCCAGTGACCCGAGCCCCTGCAGCACAGCCTGCAGGACAGGAGGGGCCGGTGGCTCCCGGGTCCCCAAGTGCGTCCAGCCGCAGGGAAGGTGTGGTCATGGGCCTCTGGCAGAGGACCCGCACCAGGGTCTCAGACTCCGGGTTCACCCCTGCTCCGCACGGCTTCTGGGCAGAGGCCTGATGTGCTGGGGTGTGGGGAGGAGGGCAGGGGGACAGCTCACCTCCAGGCTCACAGTCACTGGCTGGGACAGGACCGGGTCCTCCCCGGCCTCATACAGGTGGTGGAGCCGAAGCAGCACTCGGCGCAGGTCTGCCTGGGCCCGCACGCGGCCGCCTTTGGGGACAGAAGTGGCAGTGAGGACCCTGGTCAAACCACCTCAGGGCCCCAGCCTGCACCAGGCTATTGGTGCCACCCATGTCCCTGGTGTCCTGGAGAGGGAGGGGACAGCGCCACTGAGCGAACAGAAGCCAGGGCTGGGGGACGGTCACCTGCCCAGGGCTGCACAGCCATGTGTCCAGGCAGAGGCCCCGCCCGGCCGTGCTGACCCCAGGGTGGCCGGGCCCGGGCAGCGCCCATCTGCCCAGCAGTGAGTGACTGCTCATCCCCGTGTCCTGGTGTCACGAAGAGGGGACGGCCTCACAAAGCCTGACGACTCTGCCATGGGCTGGGGACCCAAGGAGGGAGGACAGGGCAAGGGGCCTGGCCTTGGTCTCACCTGCCCGCAGCCCCCGCATGTACTCATCGTGGCTCGAGCTGTAGTTCCAGCCGGGGACGCTCAGGATCTGCAGGTGCAGGCTGGGGGGCAGCGTCACAGCCGCTCGCTGCAGGGGCGCGGGGGCCTTTGGGGCCGGTCCTGTGAGGCAGAGGTGGGGGGGG